AAGGATTTCCCGGGAGAAAAGGGAGGAGAAAGCTAAATGAAAGCGGGGAAGGGATGGCGGGGGACAGGAGACATGGAAGAAGCAAGATGGTTGGTACGTGACAGGATGGAGATTAACAGAAATGAGATAATTAAGTTATAAGAGCAAGTTAAGACAAGACAAAGCTAAGGCCATAATTTCATAATTAGTAAGAAGTCTTCGCATCATTATCTGTGGGCTGGCAGTCCCAATGAAAAACTACTACTACACTTCTCCTGGCATATAACTCAATCAAATGGATAAAATAGTCATTCAGTATTTCTGAGAAAAAGCAAAGAGGCATTGTGGTAGCATTCTTTAATTCTATGTAATGAGTAGTGAAAAGTAGGAGGGTCATTTGATCCTGGGAGTTTGATGACAATATAGCAAGATATATCTCTATTTCAAAATGTGTTTTTTTTCCCTCATAAACAAACTTCAAAGGATTGCTGGAATACTGTATCCCCACAGCAACAAAGTCCCCAGTGGACAGCAGTGAAAATTCCATTCTTTGAAGTCAGAGGTCGGCTCATGAATCAATCTGGGATTTGGCTAGCATGATCCAGAAGTTTCCCTGGCCAGGATTTGAACTGGAAGTTAAACCAGTTAGATCTCAATCTCTCTCTGTGTCTCTCTCTGTCTCTTTCTCTCCCCCCCCCAGTCTAAAGTGGATCATTTTATGATTTGAGCATGTACACAAATATATTTGATAAAATTCAAAAACAAAACAGTTCTTAATATAAGAGACTTTGCGGCAATATTGGGACTGTTTGTTGGGATGTAAGAGTCTACTAGAGGGCAGAGATGTTCAGCTGATTATGTTTTTTTTAAGTTTTTTAAATGTTGTTTTTATTTAAGTGTATGTATCTGTGTGGGTTTATGTGCTACTGCCCGCAGAGGCTGGAGGATCTCCTGGGGCTGAAGTTACTGGTTCTTTTGAGCTACCTGACATAGGTTCTGGGAACTGAACTCCAGTTGTCTTGAAGAGTAGCAAATACTTCTAATGACTGAGCCATCTCCTCAGCCCATTACGCTTCGTTAAAATGACTAGTTGGTTCTATTTCAATCAAACAGAATATTCACTGATGTAGTTCTGGGAGAAAGAAGTGTATCCTGCTTGTTGAAAAGAATTTCCATCTGATTCTTTGATTCAAACATATTTTCAAGTCTTTTTTATAAAAAGTTGAGTGAGTCCGTGAGCAAACACTAGCCTGCTCAAGCATGTGGTTCTGACAGACCTTGCCCTTCTTCCTTATTCCCTCTGCCTTTCTGAAAGCTATTAAACTACATTCCTAAAGCTAGCCACCAAGGACCTCTTCCTCCTCCTGAGACCGACTACCAAAGTCCAGCAATCAAATGCCCCTTTTGGCTTGCCTAATTAACATTGCCCAATTAAAGTTAAACACGTCACCCAAAAACAGGGGCTTCCCATTTTACCATTATAAACTGCCATTTCCTTTGGCTGATGTCTGTCTCCCCTCTATCCAGAGGATAAGCATGAAGAAGAGGCAAGGACGGCAGACCCCAATCAATGTTCTGTGTGGTTCTCTTCATACAAAGTGTGACATGTTAGTCTGGGGCTGAGGTGGAGACTCACTCACCTAGTTCCTATTTCCTAACCAACAACCCATGCTCATGGCCCACCTCTTACCTCTCCTCATTCCTCAGTTCACCTATCCTGGAAACCTTGCCAAACTCCCTGCGATTGCTAGTTTCTAACCTGTCTATGGTGAAGTCTGTACAACGACAAGCTGTGTAACACAAAGTAAAATGAACAGCACCTTAACAGGTATTTTTAATTAACCTGAAAGGATTTTTAGTTATATAGCATAGAATAAAATTTTGAAGTATACTAATCATCTATGAGATATTTAAAATCCAGTTGCATAGACTTATTTCTTAAATAACGTATCGCTTGAAACTATAATAATCACAAAGCCCTTTAGGCTACTTTCTATCTCTGTCAGATACATCCCACCAATAAGCTCCTATTCTCTGTTATCCAATAGCCTCTTCGTTATTCGAGATAGTTACATGCAAAACTACTTCATTTTCCAAAAGTAGCAAATATAGTAGTAGTTAAATGGAAAGCATAATTTTCTTTCCCATCCGTGTTACACGGCATTATTGTGGTTATAATGTCTACTCTCATCCCTTACATTTGAGACTGTGTGTGATGACTAAACCTTGATTTTCAACCTGTGATCTTGAACTTATGACCCTCTTGACTCAGCTTCCAAGGGATGGCATTTCATGTATGAGCTCCATGCCTGGTTTCTTGAGTATGATTATTTGTAAATATTTGCCTATAGGTCAAAGAAAATAATGGTCAAAATTTTTAATATTTTTGAAGCCAGAGTCACTTGTGATTGTGTCTTTCTTCCTCTGATGGACAGAGGATTGTGCACATAAACACACAAATGCAATCCAAATACTCAGGGATGGACAAAATCAAAGGTGCCGGAAAGTAGGAGCGGGAAAGAAGACTACAGGTCTTCGCCACACAATGCAAACAGTTGAAAGGTGATGAAAACAAGTTCAATATTTGTGCTGAGTATGGCATTGTGGTTCACACAATACCAGCTCTCAGGAGGAAGAGGTAGGAGAATCCGGAGTTAGAGGTCATCCATCTCTGGATACAAAGTAAGTTCAAGGCTGGGCTGCCTGAGACTCTTTCCCAAAATAACGAATAGCCGGCATTTTTACTGTTGGTGCATCACTGAGAAACTCGAATTTTGTCTGCTATCTGAAAGGATACAGATTTTCAAATGTTTTGTTGTGGATTTTTCTTGTTGTAGTTAAGGGAAGGTAACTGAACGTATCTGAATATAACTTCTTCCTACCCAAAGAATGCATCCAGAAAGCACATACCCATCTCTGTGCCAGATACAGATGTCCACTGTGCAAGAACACCTGGATTTTATTCTACTTAAGATGTCAAAACCATGAGATTCAATCTCTAAAAGCAAAATTACCTAAGTATACTTGTTACTAATAAATTTGTGTATGTGTGTGTATGAGGTTTCAATAATATTGCTTTACTCAAATATCTTTCATTAAAAGAAATGACATATTTTTCATATTTCTGTTTTAATAAAATTCACAGTTCAAATTGATGAAAATAATTATTAATAAATAATAAATGCATCAAATTATTTATAAAGGCTTTTTAAATATTAAATAAGAATTACAAAACTGAGCACAGTACACAAATATCTGTACAACATATCACTAAAATCATGTATAATAGTTATTATTATTTTTCACTGGTACCGAGACATAATTTGCATAATTAAATGTTTCCTATGAATGTTAACCATATAAAAATAAGATTTCTAACAAAAATATGACACAGTTTTAAATATTCTATTTACAATATATAATTTAAAGTTTGTTTTAAAAAATACTATGAATTTTTGTTTACACAAAGGCAAGCCAAGAAAGCCTTCATCCTCCTGCAGGACACCACTTGTTAGTTACTCCTGGGAAGTTACTTTATGCAGGTTCACGGGAAACTAAACATTAAATATGATTCCAAATACTTTTTCTTCAAATTAGATTTGCATCTTATGAAATGTCTGAAAGGAAAAAGAGAATAAAAATAGTAGCAACATGGTTTTTAACACACATAAAATATCCTGATACTTTTAATATTTGCATTCTACATTATCTTTTTTAATATAACCCTGATAAAGCAGGCTAGTGTGCTGACATAAAGGAGGGGATTTTATTTTATTTTTATTGTTTTTATTGTACTATATATTTTTCTCCACTCAAGGAGGGAATTTTATATAGAAGGAAGATGTTGATCTTCCTATTGACAAGAAACTCAGAAAATGTGCTTAGAACATATTAAACTGGATTATTGTGATTATAATCTCTTGATTGAATAATCTGAAGCAGGTCTGAAGGGATGGTTCATCAGCTGAAAATACTGCCTGCTCTTCCAGAAAATCCTGCTCTGTTTCCAGCACCCACACGGCAGCTCAAAGTTCCAGTGCTAGGCATATGCAAGTGCAAAAAACCCATATAAATAAAATAAAAGTAAATAAAATCTCAAATACATAGCAATCTAAAGCAGACATTTACATGGAATATTATACAAGAAATCACTGAAACTCAAAACTATTTTAGTAATGATTCAAACTCTTCAATTTAAGAAAGTTCCGGGCAAATGTAGTTTGTGGACAATATTTTATTACCTTTATATTACCTATATATGGGTGGTGTTTAGTATTGGATTCAGGACCTGACACATACACAGATACAGGCTCTAATATTAAACTACATCCCAAGTCCCATGTTCTAAATGATCATGCAATATTAAGGAGAAACAAATCAAATTAATTTATTAATGTAAGAGATTCATATAAATTTTATGTACAAAAAATAAATTTAAGACCCAAGAAAGGAATATATATCCATGTACATATATGGATGGGTGTGGATTCATGTAGGTACTTTCAATAGCCAGATATATTTACTTATACATTATGTTTTGAAAATTCAAAAGGGTTGGAACAGTTTGGAATTAGCTAATTCAAGTGAGTTAACACATTTTCTTCCTCTAAGGCAAAGGAAAAATTTAAATGTGGTGGTTATGAATATTTAGAATTCACAGTGTCTATTGCTTCTAATTTGTAATGGCTGCTTAGAAATAATAATAATAGCAATGGTGGAAAAAAAACAGTTCCAACTGAGTCACCAGACACAATTTGATTATTTTGCATGATAGCAACTTAGTCTCTTGAGTGCCAGAATCTGAAATTTGGGATTAAAGGCAACATTTTCTTAAGTCATAGTATTAGGGCTGATGGATCTACTCAATGATAAAGCATTTACTTGTTTTATGCACACCCTGTGTTTGATCCCCAACACTATGTGGGGGCGGGGTGAGAGGACAGAAGGGAAATGGGGAAGAGAAATATTCTTAGGATGAGTAAATAAATAATAAATAAATAGATACTCACAGGGTAAATTTCCTAGGTCTGGGAGCAGAGCGGGCTCGCGGCTAATCTCGTCAGCAATCTAGCACACCTTTTATAATCTAGAAAAGCAATTTAAAAATAATAACACATAGAGTTCAGTGTTATGAATGAGAAAAAAGTGTTATTGTCAATGATGCATGTAACCACCATAATTTTAAAAGTCCCTAACTTAACACGCGTGTGTTCTTTTGTTCCTCTGAAAAGATACCGAAATTTGATGCCTTCACTTTAGAGAGGAGAAAACAGCTTCAAAGGTTACTATCTCACAAGAGCGAAGTGTTTTGGTTCCCAAAACTGCCTTCTCTCCACCAAACTATGCCGTCATCCATTGTCTTTGCCTTGAGCTATTATTTTGTTTCTGTTTTTGTCAATGTGACACAGACTAGAGTCGAGCAGGAAGAGGAACCCTTAGTTGAGGGATTGCCTCCATTAGGTTGTCCTGTAAGTAAATCTGCGGGCATTTTCTTGATTGATGGATACGTGGGAGGACTAGACTACAGCGGGTGGCTTCCACCCTGCGAAGGTGGTTCTGGGGTGTGTAAGACAGCAGGAAGTCACAGGAGTAAACCAGTAAGCGGCATTCCTCCACTGCCTTTGCTTCAGTTCTGGCCTTGAGGTCCTTTCAGTCTCCATCAGTGGTGGAAGAGTAAGCTGAAATAAATCCCCCCCCCAATCACTCTTGGTCTGCATTCTACCGTAGCGACAGAGAAGCAGACTAGAATAAATCCATTGGGCTTAATTTTCCTTAGTCATTTAATGGAAGGTTTTGTTTTTGAAAAAAAAAAATACAAAAATCTGATTCAATATTCAATCCTAAGTAAAGTTAAATACTCCTCAGGGTCATCTAGATTATAAGAAATAAAATGCTCAGAAGCCATTCACTGTAGAAGGAAATTTTAGATTTAGAAAGGAATTTGAAACAGGCAATTCAGCTACCATATATTATCATAACTGGGCATTTTGAATGATGGTTATTTAGTGCTATGTTTGGAATTATTGTTAACTCCACTAACTTAAGTGTTCAAAAGAACTCATTGTACAAAGGGCTGTCATCATTCAGGGAACCCCAGCACACACTGTACAAATGACATGATATAAAAACTTTTACTTCAAAATAACTTAGGGAGAGATGTTGACTTCTTCATAGTCAGCTCACTGGGTTTTTTTTTCATTTATATGAGAAATCACTTTATTTATACCAAGGAATTTGAATAATGATAAAAGGTTTCTGTCCTGACAAACATTCTAGTCTTTAAGAAAACCTGGCTATGTTCTGATTTGGAAATATTCCCAACCTGAATGTGATCTCTTGTTCCTTATACTTCAACAGTACATACAACCTTGAGCTTGAGCACCGAAAAGATTATAAATAGCATCCCATGCAATGTTTAGTCTACTGAGTCCCACCCAAAGAGAGGTGAAGCTTAAAAATTTATGCATTCATTGTTGGATTGGGTTTTTGTTGTTGTTGTTGTTGTTGTTGTTGTTGTTGTTGTTTTTCTAAGATCTGCCCAGGCAACTTACAAGCTGGCATGGAGCAATCCCTGGTGTTGTGATAAAGTCGATGGAAGTGTTTGCTGCATTCAGCTGAAAATGTGACAGGCCCTAGAGAAAGGGAAAGAATGCTTATTATAAACCTGGGCGTGTTTCCCAAACAAGTTTCTATCACTCGATGGCTGGAGACGGTGCAACTGTAGATTCCATCCTTCCTACCCTTTAAAGAACTGGCCTGAGAATTCCTTCCTTTACCCAGACACTGTGGGAGGTGCTAAACTTTGATCTAAGTTTGCACCACATTCTCAGTATCTCACATCATGGAACCTTCTGGCTAGAATAGCTCGTGATGAACTGGAAGGGGACACTCCAGACAGAAGGGAAATGCAGAGAGCGAATCAGGAGGGAGTGGCTTTCTGGCCCCTTGATTTTTTTTTCTACTTAATGGGAAGTCATGTTTCTAGTGATGACATTTGTTTTGAATTGAAGCAATGGATGCTCATTAGTGAAAGGAATTACTGCAAAGGGGGAAGGGCCTTGAAACTGCAGCAACTTTCCTCCTTCCCCCTGCTCCATAGGCATCTCCCCAACACTCAGGGCTGCCTTCCTCATCTACAGGTGTACAGAGTACGACACTCAGAAATGCCATTTGAAAGTTAACAGCTGGGTGTAGTTGTGTTGGACTGTAATTCTAATACTTGAGATGGGAAGGCAGGCAATGAGGTTTTGGGCCTGCACAAAGAACTGCAAGCAACTGAGGAAGGTTGGGAGAAGGCAATGTGGCCCTCCCTTCCCAGGGAAGAACAATGACAAATGATTAGCCCCCCCCAAAAAAAAACATGAATACAAGTAACATTATATGGACTCAATAGGTTATATTTAAGAATATATGTATATACATATATGCATGCAACAGCAATTGATGAAAAAGCAGGCAATTGATTTGCAGGAGAATGGGTAGGGGGTACATATGAGGGTTGAGAGGGAGGATAGGAAAGGGAGAAATGTTATAATTAAATTGCAGTTTTAAAAACAAATAAGAAAGCATCCAAGAGAGGTGTGTGTAACATATGCTCATCTTTCTCCTGTTTATTAAACCTCAGTGCTGGGCTGGCCGAAGCACAGTCTAAATTCTTCAGCATATCCTTAAAGGTTGTTTGCCATCTGGTTTGTTCACACTACATCCTTCCCCACTAGCCAAATGCATCCCCTTCCTAAGTTCACCCTTCCTCCCCAGCCCATGCCTATTATCTGCCTGTCTTCTTCCACCATAGCCCTCAAGCCTGGCCCAGTGGGTGGCATGACCACACTCTCGTACTTTAAACCCAACTTAGAAAGCCTGTCACACTGCAAGCTTTCACGGTTTGCTCTCAGTAAATCATCCTTTTCATTGCCCTTTAAAAGATCCTTTACATTCTACTGCTTATCAAATTCTTGTGCACTTTATAGATCATACAAGTTGGTAGCAGTTGACTGAAAACCCAGCTGAACTCAAGGCCCTTCTAGACATTAATCTCAATAGTTCCCCTGTCTACGAATGCATTCTATATTAAAATCTTCCTTTTATAACTGAGTCACTGAAATAGTGTAAACTTACCTGTGAAATGCTTTATAAATTTGTCTTTCAAGGTCATATCTCTTGGGAATATTTCTGAAAAGAAAAAAAAAGGAGTTCATAATTTCTAGGATGGATTTCCACTATTAAAACATAGCTATAACACTATACACCTAGATCCATGCAGTAGGCATAGCAGGTCTCAGATCACTGGGCTCTGGCTCGATCCATTCTCCAGGGCTCTAGAGCTCTGGCTTAGCTTGTTTGTTAGCTGTTTGTTCTACACCTCTTCCAGGGAACCATCCAGACCCCTCACCAATATCTACTGCTGAATGTCTGACTTTCTGACTTCCCAGAGCTTCCCCAATCCTGTGTTCCTCAAACTCAGTGAATATCATCATTCTTTAATGCTTGCATTGCTGTAGTGATTTAAATGATAATGCTCCCTATAGGTCTATAGGGAGTGGTATTATTAGGAAGTGTGGCTTAATTGGAGTAGATGTGGTGTTGTTGGAGGAACTGCATCACTAGCAGGTGGGCTTTGAGTTCTCAGAAGCTCAAGTCAGGCCCAGTGGCTCACTTGTTCTTCCTGCTGCCTGCCAATCCCAGCATACACTCTCATCTACCTCTCCATCATTACATTTGCCTGAATTCTACCATGCTTCCTGCCAAGAAAATAATGGGCTAAATCTCTGAGCTGTAAGTCTCCTCCAATTAAATGCTTTTCCTCATAAGAGTTGTCATGGTCATGGTGTCTCATCATAGTAATAAAACCCAAACTAAGACAATAGTCCACCTCAACATGCTTTGCTTGACTGCCTTAGGGTTTCTATTGCTGTGAAGAGACACTATGACCACAGAAACACTTACAAAGGAAAACATTTAATTGGGGGTGGTTTACAGGTCAGAGGCTCGGTCCATTGTCATTGTGGTGAGACATGGCAACATACAAGCAAACATGGTGCTGGAGAAGAAGTTGAGAATTCTACACCTTTGATTCACAGGCACCAGGAAGTGAACTGAGACACTGGGTGTGGCTTGAGCATATATGAGACCTCTGACCCTACCCCGGCAGTGACACACTTCCTCCAACTTTGCCTTATCTACTCCAACAAAGCCACACTCCCATTTAATAGTGCTACTCTCTATGAGCTTACGGGGGCCATTTACATTCAAATTACCACATTTTTTTTATTTTATGTAGGCTGGTATGTGAGATATAGCATGCATATGGAGATCAAATGACAACTTTCAGGGGTTTGGTTCCCTCCTTCCAGCATGTGGGTTCCAGATATTAATCTCCGGTCACTGGGCTTGACAGCGAGCACCCTTACTCACTGAGCCAGCTCACTCTCCGCCAATTGTGTGTTTAGACTTACAGCATTTTCCTTACATATTGACTTCTTTATAAGCCACACATAATATGAGTGCTTCTCTGAATGCACGTTTGTCACCTGGAGATGGACAGAGCTTGTGGAGACTGAGCAAGGCTGGTGGAGTCTCAGGGGAACTATAACAGCCCTTGGTATCCCAGGAGGTGAGAGGAAGCCATCTCTAGAAGCTTCATAGATGTTCCCTAGGGGAGGGGAAGGGAAAAGAGGACCCCATCTCATCCAAAGGATCCTTGGATCTAGTGGAGATCATGGACCAGAGATGGGGTGAAAAGCTGAGTTGGAGGAACAAGGCCAGGACCAGATGTTTTAACTCAGCAGGGGTCTGGCAGTCAGGCACTTGTGACAACCTACTTCACCCTAGTTATCACTGCTGCTGGATTCCTCTTCTGAAGGCACTGGCTCATGACTTTATCCAGAGGAGGCCTAGGAAAACTGCCAGAATTAAAATACAACATGCTGTGTTTTTGCTAGAGTAGAGTTGGAAGGTGATGTGATTGGTAGGGTGGAGGGCTCATCATCTGGCTTTGCTCCTGAGGAGGTAACAAGGGTGCAGAGTTGGCAGTGCCGAGGATTAGCGAGTCTATCACAGGTGGGATCCTCTTGGCTGCCAATCAGGTGGTGCAATTTGCTGATCCTCAACCTCTTCCTCCTTCCTGAACCAAAGCTAGATAGGGTAGGACTGAATGCAAGGCAAGTGGCCACATGAAGAGGTGACTCTGACACACACTGTATTTAGAATATCAAGTCCACAAAACTCTTTCCCTAGAAATTCAGATTTAAAGACCATTTCAGTCAATTGTCTGTTGTAGGAATTTTCTCTCCTTAGAACAATGCGGTTTTCAGCACCCAAAGTGCTAATGGCAATGGGTCTTTTTCTGTTCTTGATGTCATCTGCCCATGAAAGGAAGAAATGGTTCTCTCCAGTTCCTCAAGATCACGGCTTCTCCTCCTTTGGCTCTCCAGCTCCTCAGCTGCTCGGTGCTCTGTTCTGCATTGTAAAGTTTCTCTTCTTAGCCGGTAATTTCCTCTCTTAATTTGATGTGGGATTTTGCTTTGTGTCTGGAAACACTTTGGCCTTTACATCTGTCTGTGCATTTCTACTGCAAAGATGCCTCTTTAGTCTGAAAGGTTGCACTGTTCTCTGTAAGGTACCACTTCACTGTAGTGTCTTCAGATACCTGCATGAAACTTTCATTCTTCCTCCTTCTGCAGTTTTTTTTGTTGTTGTTTTGTTTTGTTTTGTTTTGTTTCTGTTGTGGAGACTGGCTTGGTGTTGGCAGCACTGAGGGTGGCAGTGGGGGCGGTGGGCAGCTTCTGGGTCTCCGCATTCCTGCTCATGGTTGCAGTGGTGGTGACTGAGGCTTGCAGCGACGGCTGCAGCTCCTTTCGGGGTGTGATGTTGACTAGGCCTACAGGAGTGGTAGGGCTCTCAGGGCTCTCTGGAGTCCATTCTCTGCTCCTGCTACCAATCGAACTCCTGTGGTTTTAAAAGAAGCTTCTAACTCAGTTGCATGACTCTTTCTTCTGAGTTCCTTTTGGCAATGAACTCAACACAATTATGTGATTCACTATACATCCAATTCCAGTTTGCCATCATCAGCCATATCGTCTTCAAACATGGGGACCTAATCTTCATCATTGGCCAGCCAACACAGAAAGGCTGGAGGCTGCTTTCTTTATTGTGACAGCTTTTCTGTTCTTTGTTGGGACTCTTAGTGTGTTTTCTCTCTATTCAGATCACCTGTTCTTCCCACATTTCAGCTTTAAACTACCCTGAGCATCGTTTTGGCTTTGGCTACTCATGATCTGAAAGCTTCAGCCTGTCTAGTAGTGATGTATCCTTTTTAAAGTACAGGCCATCAATCCATTCTGTGCAGAACGTTCAGACATCTCTTAGTTCTTTCTCTAGAAACTGTATTTCATCACCTTTCAGTATGAACTCCTCTCTCCAGCTTCTTTCCATTTGCCTCCAGCTTTTTACTTCTGTTGGCTCCTTCCTAGAAACCTCTAGGCTTTATTGTCCTTTTCAAGTAACCCCTACCTTTCTCTAATAGTGCATATTTTTCTTCACATTTTCTTCACTGAGTCCTAAAAACTCTAAAAGTGTTCTTCTCCTTCCACACAAAGCAGCCTACTAAATGGAGGAAAGCTTCTCCATAAAACCAAGAGAGCAGTAATCAATAGTGAGACACAGGATCAGTTCCCATGAGAAATGGTAGGGACTGAGGTCTGGTCTTCACCCAGCAGTGCCATACCCTGCACAGTTCTTCTGGGACGGGCACCAGCAGGGCTCTGGAGCTGCCCCGGGAGTAGTGCCAGGGAGCTGCATAGGTGCCTGAGCTGCCAGTGCCAGGTAGCACAGAGCAAAGAGCACAGAACACCCAGCATCACCTTCAGAACTGATCATTGGGTGATGGCGGGGCAGGCTCTCTCTGTCAGTGAGAACTAGGTTTAGGGGTACCCATTATTGCACCTGGCTGGACATGGGTTCTCTAGATTTGAACGGTGTGCTCCTTCATGCTTGCACCCACTGAACCATCTCACCAGGAACCTACTGCTGTAACTTTCCACCTAACACTTTCCTTGTTATTTATTGTATGTGTAAGGGTATTTTCCCTGCATGTATATCTGTATACCATGCACATTCAGTGCCCTCAGATGCTGGAAGAGGGCACTGGATCATCTGGTACTAGAATTGTAGATAATTGTGAGTTACCATGTGAAGGCTGGAAATCAATCTTGCGTCCTAAGATGAGGCCATGTCTCTAACTGTTGAGCTACCTCTCCAGTCCCCATGTAACACTTTCAAGCCTTGGTTGGCTGGAGGTATCTGAACACTCTAAAAGTGTCACTAAGCATAAGGCCAGGTCTACTGTACTTCACATCCACAGTGCTACCTGTTGCCACAGAGACAGGAGGGAAACATCACCTGCCTCTCTGTCTCCTGACAGCAATCTTGGAAATCTGCTCCTAATATCTGTGAGTTTACTTACAACCATAAAAATGAAAAGCATAGAGGAAAAAGTATGATTAAAATGTAATTTTAGGGCAAGTAGGATGGCTTAGTAGGTAAAGGTGCTTGCTGCTGAGCCTGATGACCAAGTTCAACCCCTGGGGGCCACATGGTAGAACTGACTCCCACAGGTTGTTCTCTGACCTCCACAAATGTACTCCAGCAAATGCACACAATATGTGCACATATAAATGAATATAATACAAATCTTAAAGAAATTTGAAAATTTGTAGCTCTGATTAAAAAGCAATGTTCTGGGGGAAGGAAGCAACACTGGGCGACTCTATCGGCTTCCTACATGGACTTTCTTTACTTTCGGCTGAGACAAATGGATCCTTCAAGCAGATAACTGTTGCTGCCAGAAGCGCTGTGAACAGGGAGAGATCGTTCATGTAAGTGAGCGCTGGATGCTCATAATGAATGTTTATGACTGGAGCATCTGGCTACAGAGCCCAGCAGACAGAAGACATCTGCTTATAGCACCTGCCAAATACAAACGTGGAGTGAAATCATATGTATCCTTTCCACCTTGACCTCGTCCCACCCTATCAGCTTTCAGTGGAACAAATAACTCTCAGCAATCCTACCAATAAATTATTAACGCACATTAAAACCAAAGGGGAGGGACATGGTTGTTTGACTATAATAATCATTTCCCTCTGTAGATGTATAGGAAGTATCAGGCTATG